CCTTATCGTCTTCTTCCTCTTTAAATTCCTTTATTCACATGGTATTCCTATTTCAAATTGCTTCATCTAAAACTTGTTCTTTATTATCATTATTTTTTTATTTTTATATAATCACGTAGAAATGGTGGTGACTCCAATATTTGATTCCATTGAAGCAATATGGGCAATGCTCATTTGGACGAGGAAAATGATTTCTGAATAATATTTTTATATTATTTTTTATATAATTTTATGTATTACTTAAATAATTAATTTTTTTATTTATTTAAAATCTGTAATATTTAATACATTCATTCATTTCATGACATAAAAATTATATAAAAAAATAATATAAAAAATTATTTCTATACTACCCTCTTTGGATAAAATAGTTTGTATGTGTTGCTTTTAATACTGATAATGAAAATAATTTATGTTCTTTATTTGGTTACTAGTAATCTTACAAATTAATTAATTTTTGTTCTTCTAGATCTTGAGATGTAAATACCGGAGTAAATCATTTTCTAATTATATATATGCACAAAAAAATGTAAAAAGAGAGAACAAGAACGGCATCTTCGTGGGGTTATGTGCTGAAAACCAGGACACATTTGACAGTTGATGAAAATCCCAAATGTGGACAAGCTACCTAATCCGCCACACGTGCAGACAAAAGTTCATGTGCACACTGTCCAGATGGACAGAACATATTCCCCGTCCTTCAATATCCACCGGCATTCCCCATGTTTTACGCCGTAGAAAAGCAACGACAGCTTCAACAAAGAATCAATACCACACCCATACACGGCTCCACAATGAACTTCTACCGTGTCAGAGTCAACACTACCCACATACAGCTTCAGCTTCACATAATTTTGTTATTAATATTTTATCATTGAAATCACTCGTACAAACAAGCAAAACGAATTAGAGAACTGTGTAAAAAAGAATAGTAGTCTGGCATGCTAGCAACCTTTTTCCCATCGATCTCCTTGAAGGAAATCACTCCACAGGCTATTATACAACAAACTCAATGTGATAAGCCAAGAATACATTAATTGACGTCTATTTCCAAATGGTGGTGGCGGCCTTCTCTTATTGCCTTCTGTCTAATACAGAATAAGAGTTAGTTCTATGTTGCTGGTTGTTTCTTTGTGAGTGGTGCCCTCTGTGTTGTTGGTTCCTATCGTATTGTTTCTGTGGGTTGTTACCTCGCTGTTGATCCTGCCACCGTTGGTGAGGATGGTTCTCTCTTGGTTGATGATGCTCACGCCCTCTCTGAGTGCTGTGGTTAACTGAACCTTGCCTATGGTGGCTGTACCCTCCAGAAGTGTGCTGGTTCCCCCCAACTCCCCACTGCTGATAATTACCATCACCAGTTGATGGGTACCCTTGGTCGGCATCATACCCACCTTGATGAAACGGATAGGCACCCACCTCAGTTGACATTTGTGCAACAGGCCTTTGCATATGCCTTGATCCACCATCTGGATGAAATCCTGGAGGGTAAGAAACATGGCTGATGGAAGCAGCTTGGTTACTTCTCTGATAATGAGGACGAGACCCAGTGTGAGGAGGGTAGGAAGCTGGAGGACTATAGGGTTGATCATATCGATGAGCAAAGGGGGGTTGCATAGTAGGCGTTGAAGGTCCACGGTAACCAGCACCCGAATAATCTGCTACAGGCATTCTATGTTGACCCTGATTATGAAACCCATAATTTGTATGAGGGTTAATTGGTGGAACATGGGGAGCATTGGCATAAGCTGGTGGTAGAGCATGCATGTTATTGCTGAACCCATTACTATCAACCTTCAACTGTAAGCTATTAACAAGCAGCCGATGGGATGCCTCTCCAAGCTTATGGCCGGAAATGGTTCCAGGGGGGTTCTGCCTGAAAGGGAAAGGTCATGAATTATTAACGACAGATATATTACAAGCAAAAGAGCAGGGAAGTTTCTAAAGAGTACTTATTTATTGAAACAATAAAATGATAAAAGTGTAAAGCATATCTCCCATTTTCAGTATACCTTCCGTTGTCAGCATACCTTCCATTTTCCCATGGTTTCCTCCCAGAATCTTCATGCCATAACACAGGTTCAGGTTTCACATCACTTAACTGCACCATCTGCAAGATAAGAAACTAAGAACGTGAAAAACTATTTTCATCCAAAAAAATCAATCAAGTGCAATAAAACATACACAACTATACTAATCATGAGTATTTTGGACCAAATATCTTGACTTTGCCAAACACGTTGGGAGCTTAGAGGGTGGATGCTATTGGTCAACTGACTCCATATTATCAACAAACAAAAATCAACTACCAGAAATATCATCTTAAACCTCCAGAGGATCATGATCTTCTCAAGCCTATTTGGAACTAGTAAAGACATAAATTTCCGTGCAACTTTGGCATTTGCTTCATTAACCAGGTCCCCATAAAAGGAGGGGGGAAACTGCAAAGTCTAACAGCATTAGGTTCAACAAAATTCTGATTATCCATGACATGAGACTTCAAATAAAATTGCAGGTGATAAAGGGCAAGGGAAACAAATATAAACATGAATGACCAACTAGTTGATAGGACTCACATTTCATTATAAGTATCCATCCATAATTACATTAGAAAAGAGAAATATCTACCCAATATCTACAGATCTGTCATTTTATCCTGTGTCATACCTTAGGAGGGAATATAACCCCAGCGGGTGGACGAGTGATGTGTTTATGTGCTTTTGGGAGTCTGTATATACAACATCTGATAAGCAAGCACAAACAAAGATGAGTTCATCAGTAAATCAGTTAATCAATCAGATTAGTGCAACAATCTAGAAATCTTACATGACTTCATTCACCAACACATCTTCCATAAAATCAATGGGAGACCTAAATACAGGGGGCTGAGTATCTCCAGCACAAGGGGAAATGTAACCATTCATCCCATCACTGCAAGTAGCCCTAAATGAATCAGAAATGGTGGGACCATATCTTAAAATCATCATTAGTATGGAAAGTGAAAAATGGAATAACAAAGATTGTGAAAGCCATAACACCTATGCCATCCATTATGCTAAATCATATGACCAATATCCATAGGCAAACACACGTCCTCATCAAATTTTTATTAAAATAAGAGTTTCAAGATGAGAATAATGACACAGGATTCAAAACAAAATCCATAGATATCCTAATCTTTAGTGGTAGATACAAAATCTGGAATTTGTTCAGGACACAAGGTTGTAAAACTGTGATCTATTTAACTATAAAATCATACTGAAAAAAATCGTATGATAGGAGACAAACTAAATTATGAGAAATGTCAGACTAAAGTTCTGTCGCATATGACATTTCATAGATTGATAAATCTAGACTGAATGGATATTGCATTTTGAACACAACTGCATTCCAGCTACTTAGAAATGTAATAATTAATTGAAAATTCCCCAGTGTCTTTCAAACCTTTCTTCCATCAACTAGTAGTGGACAGCACTAAGAGGTATAAATAACCAAGATGAACATGAGAATATAGAAATTAGTCTTAGTCTACAGGCCAGAGTTTGATGCCAACAACTACAAGAGAGTTAAGAACAGAATTAAAAGTACCATGGTTAACAAAAATTTATTCATTTAAGGACTAACCTCAATTCTGGTCTAATTTGCTCCAGAACTTCCACTCGCTCTCTGTCAGACAATTGTTTACAACGATTGTCAAGAGAAAAGATCTGTTCTGACAGACGATGGGATGTTGCAACAAAAAGCATGTCACACATCATACTGTTTCTCCGAGCTTGCTCTTCCTACAGGGGATTGTACAACTTAACAGAATCAAAGAATAGCTAAAACAACTTTATTGTGAAAGAAGCCCTAAATGCAAAGAGAAAAATGTTAAAATTCAAACATCCTACCGTCAATGTATGTTCAATTTTTGCAACCTCCTCAAGAAGTCGTTCTTCATCAATGAACGGCAGTTTTGCAACCCCCTTCAAGCAAACAGGCAACATTTCAAAACTTAACTTACATAGAATGGGCATTCTACACAAACCATTGAATCTATAAAGCTAACTCAAATTAGCACAGAAGATGAATTTCATTTACCTGCCATGAGTATCGTTTTCCATTCATGTCTACTTCAAAATCTGATACAGAAAAAAAATTCTGATTTCAGGCCCCATGGACAAAACAAAGGAAGAATGATTAGCACTTTTCAGTAGAAACAATACCTGTTGGGTAAAAATCAATAATGGGTGAATTTGGATCTGTCATCAATTTCCTATAATGTGGAGGAAGAGCATGGGAACTGCAAATGAAACATAGAATAAGTGCTCTGTATCTATGGGCTTCAAAATTTACTAGGAAAATGAAGTTGGAAATAATCTGGTACCTTGCAGCGGGAAAAACACCCAACAGCTGATTAAATGGTTTGAAAGGGGAGCCCAGTTCAAATTTTATATCTAGTTTGCCAAGATCCTTCAGATCAGATGCAAAGGGTGCATAATGATATGGATAAAACCTGAAATGATAAAGTTCCATGGCAGCAAGGAGTCAAATATCAATGATTAAGAACAGTTATAAAACCAAGTTATTTTGATGAAAATTACACAATTTTATAGAAATGAAATTCTTTGGATTAAAAAAAAAAAGAAAAAGAAAAAGGAAACTCACCATCGCCAAGAGCATACCCCTTCATAATAATAATGCATGACCCAACACAAACCTTCAGTGTACCTCAAAACCTACTCCCAAAAAAACTCCAACAATAAGATTACTTTAAATAACTTGAACATGAATCATTCCACATCATTACAAAGTTCATTCAACTCACAACATCTTTTCGTATTGCTTCCATTTCCTCAGGAGTTTTCACAGAAAATTTCTCCTCATAATATCTTTCTTTCCACCCTGGTTCTCCGAGTTTAATCTGATCAAGGTGCAAAGAACCAAGTAAGCTTGTTAAAGCTTGTAGCAGATCAGATATAGAAACAAGTTTCAGAAAACAAATATAAATCCAAAGGTAAAGGAAATGCAAAGAATAAAAAGAGCTCAGTTAATAGAAGAGGCTTAAGAAGAATCCTAGTAAGATAAACATAATTCTACAGGATTATGACTAAAACAAGAAGTCATTTCATTTCCCCACTCATCATATTCTATATTACTTCATTAATGATATATGGTTCCTGAAAGTGATAACAGAAGAAGAATGGTAGATACATGTAACTTGAAGCCTACTACTCCATTCCATAATCTAGAGTATTTTGCTCCAATTAAATAGGATAAAAAATGAAGTCCATTAGAAAATTCAACCTTGTCTTCTTCAGGATTATCTGAATTGAAAGCATCAGACTTGTCACGTAGCAACTCCTTGAGCTTTGCTTTCAACTCTTCTTTGTTCTCATGCATCTATACCACGGAAAGGTAACAGTATAAGCATCATTATCACAGGGTGCATGAATACAGCAAAATATAAAAAAGGAGCATAATATTAATATATTATGGCCAATGCATTCCTAACTCCTAGCCATCAAGACTCGCACCAAATCAAAGGTAAGCTCTGGCTGCAGGAGTCAGAATGACATTAAAGTGCCTCCCATGAAGCAGGAAAAACGTACATCTGTTTCAAGACTGTTCTCTGCTTCAACAATGGCAGCACCAATAGTAGCCCCTGATGATAACCGTCGAACTTTCTGGGGCCTAGCATTAGGTTCTTTTTTCTGAAATGGTGCTGCTGATGGGCCTGACGCAAGGCGGGACCCGTGAAATCTAGCAACTGCAACCATTGACTCAGGCTGAACTTGAGGCTCTGCATCATCTCCTCTCCTTGCTTGTGCTTTTCCACGCTTGATTCTTTCTGCCTGCCTCTGTAAAATCCAACAAGAAATGCATCTATCAACTGAAACCGAATAAGAGTGCTAAATAACAACTTTTTCTCCCCAAGAAAGATTGGTAGAGTAAGGACTTGCCAGTCCTCTCACTCCCCTTTTAAAGTAGCCCTTCACCAATATCCATCTAATAGCCCCAAAAATAGACCCTTATTTCGGATCCCCATTTTTTTGTGGGTGGGTGGGGGGGAGGGGGGTGGAATGCTAAAAATCCTGCTGCTACATAACAATAATTTTTGCAAATTAAAAATAATCTACAACTGACTAGGTTACAATTACCAACAGATTGAACAAGAAGCAACATTTTCTCAATATTGAACCATACAGTGAAAGAAAGACAGTAGGATTATCTGGAGCATTTTGTGCCAAATAGTCGGGATCATTTATGAGGCCTAGACTTTAAAGCAACATTCTGAAAGAGAGAATCATAGATCTAAAAACACAACAAACCTGATGTAATCGTGCTCTTTTCTGAAATATTTTATCTTCATAAGAGCCCACGGCCTGAATAAAATGCTCAACCCTGCTCAAATTAGGCTGAAAAGAAACAAGCAGTAAAAATGTTAGTAATCTCCAAGGAATAAGAAGCAACATGCATTTTGGTGACTGAAGCAGCTCACAGCCTCCATATCAGCTACAAAGACAAACAACACCTCACCTTGCTGCCATCAGTCAAATAACCACCCATTGAACTAAATTCCTTCTTGTATACTGCCATCAATAGGTTGATTGCACCCTGGAAAATAATAAAAGAAAAATTGTAAATAGAAGTTCAGTTACCACAGAATATAATGCCATGTTTCAGTATTGAAACTTGTATACTTTTCCAGTGGGGGAGAGAAGAGCTTGTTACAGCTAACTCTCCAACTCTACAAAGATCTAGATTTTGCGGAACAATTGTGGGTTATTCTCACTCTGTATGTATTTGTTCAATATCAGGACAAAGATATCAAATAAAATTCCACATTAAGTAATCATTTGAGGCATTACAAACCTCACGAATCTCTAGTGTGGGCATATGTGGTAAGAAATCATTGCCAACGAAGAAGCATATGAATATAAAATCATCCACAATGCACTCAAAATCAATCTTGAATGGGGTATTGGGAATTCTAAACTCATATTCTAGGTACTCCCTCAGTGTCCAGACATTGAGAAACTGCATCACAGAAGGTGAGAGAAATATGTTAGAACACAGCATAACAAACCATAAAATGTTTTTACCACAGTACTTGGCCATTTCAATTAGGTTACCTGGTATGGCTTTTTCACCACGACATTTTCACTTTTCTCATCAAACTCTCCTGCTTTTCGTTTCACCTTTCCCTCACAATCTGCAGCAACATGACCCATTTGACCACAGAGAAAGCACTTATCTTGTCCTGGGGTGAATACAACCTACAAGAATTCCAATGGAAGCAATAGTGTTACCAATGAAGAGGAAAAAGCAAAGCATAACAGATACAAACATAATGAAAGAACACAAAATATACACTTACTCTGACCTACAGGTAATCAACTCCTATAAAAATAAAACAATAAGAAGGGAAAGAACACCAACCCCACCCCCCACCCCCTGCGGCCCCCTAAGATTTAGCTAACAAGTAAAACATAAAAGCCTAAGTCGTGAACCTGATTCTCTAAGTAAAAAGGAGAATACAAACCTCTCGAAGGATTGAAAAATGAATTTCATGGGTGGCTAAAGCCAACATAATTAAATCTGCATCCTGCAATGTATCACACCAACCAGAATTAAATGAGTGTACCACACTAGTGGTAAATTTGTGCAGAACATATAAGCAAAGCACCTATGAAATTTAAGGAGCCATGCATCTCTATACAAGATAGAACATTATAATGAGCGAAGAAATATACCAAACCATACAGACAATGGCGTGTATTTGGATCAGAACCAGGTAGATTCCGCTGGAGACGAATATATGACATGATCTTATGTTCTCCTTCTCCAGGAACATTTGCATCAGACAGAATAACCTTCAAAACGAAAGAGTATAAGAAACAGCTGATAGTCTCTCTATCATTGCTGAAGCAAGAAAAATACAATGGGAAAAAAGGGAAAGGAGTTACACTGATACTACCTTAATATTTTTCCATCCCGGATCATTATTTATTCTAAGATGTATATAATACTGTAATGCAGTTGACAAAACTGCCATAAATTCGGTTCCTGGAGTGATAACATTAGAATCAACAACTTGTGAATCTTGTTTAGGAGGAAGTTTTCTACCCTCCCTCTCAAACTCTTCCCGCAACCGTTCTTCTTCAGCTGCCTAAGAAAAGGAAAGTTGACAAAAGTTATAATTGCAACATTCTTTGAGACTCTGTAGGTCTAGAATCAGCTTTAATATGCAGATTAGCCATGAAACAAAATCATAAAAATGCAGCTATTCCTTAATATTAAAATTTTCTTTTTGAATAATTCTGTTTTCCATGGTATTAGTAATAGGAGATGGAGGAGGAGTTATGGTGGCGCTGCCTAACAAAAAAATATTTATTAATCCCACTCTCCATGTGCACAAGGAAGTCGCAATTAGCAATCACAAGTTAACATACCGCTTCTGCTGCATCCTTAGCTGCTCTAAAACGTCTGGACCGTTGTTGATTCATTTTGGCCCGAGGAGCAACACCATCTACAAATTAGTGTTAAAACAGTTAAAATTCATCAATAATCACTCAATGTATTCAATGATCTGTGAAACTAACACTCACCAATAGCCATGTATAGCAGCTTTCGAGGTCGCACCATCACAAAAAGTCTGTCAATGTAGTCAAACATGCACTGAAACACCTCATCGAAACTTGATGGAGACGGCTGCAGGTATGAAAAAGTATGGTAAAAAGCCATTCTAATTAAAATTACATTCAAGATAGAATAATGAAAAATTGCATGTTTTGAGTTCAACAAAATAATTAACTACTACACTGGATTATTCGAGTCTATTCCAATCCAATAGCCATAAAAATCTTAGAACAAAAGTAACAAACATTCAATTCAATTCAAGACGTAAGAATTAGCTCAAAATTAAAAAAAAAAAAAAATGAGACACATAAGATTAAGGAAGCTACAAGTTCGATAACTAAATAAAAATAAAAGGGAAGGTGATGCATTCAAGCGTACCTTGTCTTCCGGATGAAAGCAAGGATGGATAATCCCGTTCATATCGAGATACAGATTATCGTATTCGATATTGTTAGGGTTAGGTCTACTGGTATCGACCGGAATCGAGACGCCATCGATAACCACCGGTTCTTCCTCAATCACATCCACCACAATCAACGGATACTTCTCCGCCAGCCACCTATAGAACGCCGGTACTCCCATTGGCAGGCAACGAGCTCAAATCTTCCAAAAAACGGGGCCAAAATGAAAACACGAAACCCTAACCCTAGCAGCGCCGAAAAGAAACGCAAGATCGCGTTTTTCAGTATTTGTAGTTTCGTGACGGAATAGGGGGATGGCGAATTAGGGCTTGGAATGTAGTTGGACAATAACACCCCTCTTGACTTGAAGGAAAAAGGTCAGAGAGAAGAAGGAATTCGGGGAAAGAGCTGAGGAGGTTTTTGTATTTGTGCAATGAGTACGTTTTGTTTGGGTGTGAGTCCGGGAAAGGATTATGCGTGGGATATGCTGCTGACCGCTTCCCCAGGATGTGGCTGTGACGGGGTCGTGTCACCAACCGGTGATCTGATCCTCATGACGGGATGCATAGATATTTTTGTGTGGGCCCATGCAGTACGCCTAAGTATCGTTTTGGGATTTTAGGATTTAGATTAGTGAAATTAATATATAAGAAAGAATATTCACTATCAATAATGATAAAATATTTATTTTTATTGAATTAAAATTTGATATTAATGATATAATATAAATTATTTTATTTAAAATTTTAAAAAATATATTCTGTATTATTATTTAATAATTGATCCTTTTTATTTTAGATGCTAAATCTTCATCTTTTACATCACTGCTTAGGTTTTATTTGATAATGTTATCTATAGTATTTTTAATAAATATTTAAAGTATTTTTTTATAATTTATATGTTTGGTAAATTATTTATC